AGGAACTATCTTATAAAAAATAGAGAACCTACCTTGATTTTGTTTTTCACAAAAATGTTTTAAAAAACCATTTTAAAAGGAAAAAAAAATTAGTAAGGGCAATTTGTTATTTTAAATTATGAGATTGATAACAAAAAAATTAACCACTTATAATTGACACTCTCTAAATATCAATAAATAACTAAATAAATCTAATAAAAAGAAGCTCACATACCAAAGACTCTCACTTTCAGTTCGCCGTTTTATCAATGGAGTAATAATCAACTAGTTTTTTAGTTATATTTTAGTCGTTTTTAAAATTTTTAATCGGTGGTGTCTGATTGGTTTTAACCAGTTGAACTGGTCGGTCCAGTATTTTAAGGTACACGACCCGTCCCGACCCCCCCCCCCCCCCCCAAGTGTTGTTTTCTATTGAATTCATTTAATTTGGGAACCATGTGATTTTTTATTCTAAATTGGTTACTGTATATATATGTATGTATATATGTATATATGTTTGTATGTGTATGTGTCTAAACACATGTAGCTCACAAGGTAATGATTGTTTTATGTATGTTTTAATGCTATGTATTCCATGTATCAGCTTTGAGAGTTGTAATGTGACTGATAATAGAAGGTTAATGGGTAGAAACCAGGCATAGCTTCCGTGACCTAAGCAACCTTGCAATTTGACTATGGTTTATTTGTATCAATTGTAATATTTGAATGAATGTTTTTTTTTAAAATGTATTTGTAAATGAAATGGAAAAAGTTGGGACCATGTTTTATAAATGGAATTCACTGAAAGAAATTGGTTTATAAACCATAGTATTTCAATGTATAAAAGATCGGACGTTACACTGCGGTGTAGCAATGTTCTTAAAAGCAGTTCGCGGATGTAAATGAATTCCTAGATTTTGCTCCAGGATTGGGTAATTGTTCAAAATAGCGAAAGATTTGTAGCCATATTTTATGACATTTTATGACGAATTTGGAAGTCGAGAAATGACAGATTCTACAACAAGGTTGCAAGATCTCTACTCTAGTGGCGGATGATGTGATTTTGATGGTGTATATGTGGTACAAAAACAAAGGGAAGAATCACATATGCATATGGAATGATTGATGTTGCTCTCCTTTTTCCTTGTCGTTTATATTTATAAACCATAGAATTTTCTTTTCGTATCTAGCTCGTTGTTAGGTGTGATTTTTTGTAATATTCTTCGTTTCTAAAAAAAAAGAGTTCTTCTATTTGCTCAACAAGTAGCCAAGTATGGTTGAAATGAGTAGATGATATCTAGATATTGCCATATTGTGACAGGGATGAGTATATGTTATGGGTAATTCATTTGTTCTCTGATTTGACATCATTTTCATCACGTTAATGCGCAAAAAAATAAAATTATAAGTCAAAAAATGTTGAAACTTTGTTTAATAAAGTTGTCTTGTGGGCCTTATCCAACTACAATGGATGGGTTTGAAATATGGTGTTGGCCTGTTGGGTTAGCCTAACTAGGCAAAACTTACGCTTACATTAATGAATATTTAATGGTCATAAATTGGGTCTTGGGTCTTGGAGGCTCTTTTTGATTAATTAAATATTTTAAACTCTTAATTACGAAATCTATTTTATATTTATTAAATAAATTATTAAATTCGTATTTTGACAGTTATTTTTGTTTTTTTGACAGTGACGAACTATCATAAAGAAAACCTATAAATATATGTTTTTCAATAATTTGTGGATTATCACAAAGATCATATTATACTACCAAACTCATGCAATTTTATTTTTTATTTTTTATTTTTATTTATTTATTTTTCAGGAAGGCACCAAAGAGAATTCTCACAAAATCAAGATCCTACCTTGATTGATTGTTATATCATCAAGACATACCAATATCAAGACAATTTATGTCTTAAGACATTGCAGCAAACATGCCTCAATCTTCACATTGCCATGGTTGTAATATGTATATCACATCAGATATGTTTTTTTATGGTTTATAATTGTATACTTTATAAATAGATTTCGTACTGTGCATGTTTCCATTTGTTCATTTCATGAACAATTTGTCATAACAAAAAGTTCACGTACACCATGATAATCATGCAAATCTTTTTTCATAGATCCTCTAGATGAATCATAGTTTAGTATTTAGTGGTAAACTAGATATGTTAAATATGTTTAAATAATTAAAGTACTAACAATTTTACCTTTAGGACAAATTTACCTACTGTGTCAAATTATGTTACATTTTCTCAAATATTTCAAGTCATTATTTTTTTTACTTGAACTCTCTATCTTAGATGTATCATTTTGCCCATGTAAGGATCGTCAATTATGTACTTCTCATGTCATGACTCATTTTGGAGTAAATTACAAAATGGTGATCATTTACATTTTTGGGATCTAAACATTCATTTTTGCTTGGCTTTTATTTGAGGTTTATGTGATTATGTTAGCCCGTATTTTGAAATCTCTTAAGAGCATCCACAATATGAGTTTAATAAGAGTTGAATAGATGATGACTAGGATTGAATAGAAGTTTAATGGAGTGTGAGTGATGACATGGAAAAGAGTTGAATGGGAGAGTTGGATGATTATTGATTGGTTCAATGGATTTAATATTTTCCTTTTCAATTAAATTTCAAACCCAATATAGAAATCCATTAAATTTTAAATGGGTTTAATGGAGTGTGGATGTTAAAGAGTATAGTTGAATAAAAAGTGAAATGTTGATATGATAGTGGTGTGACAATCTATAGAACTCCTTAAATAGATTTCAATGGATTGCGGACGCCCTAACCCTTTTATTATATGCTCCAACCAAAATGACTATATTACCCTTTATCTACACCACCCAACCCACCTAACTCACCCATACCTTCTCCTTTCATGGCCCCCTCCTCCTCCCCACCACCGTCATTCTTCATCTTTCTCTCCTTCTCGATCTCAATATATGGTTGTACAAAATCATGCAAAAGCAAGAATCATATTTGCAAACTGAGAACGACCACCTGAAAATCAAAAATCTCTTCAACCTTCGAGCTTGATCCAAACATTCTTTCACATCCGCTTCCAAATTGTTGATTGATCCTAATAAAAATAATGGGAACACGTGGGTGGATCAACAAATCAATCCAAACATTTTGCACCTCTACTTTTATGTGACTCAACGTCTATGGCGAGGTTACGTTGGTTGAAGGTAGGCCACTTGACCTACCTTTTTTTTTATATATATATATAATAGCTTATATATAATTAAAAAATATGACCTATCTAAAAAAAATTAAGTGAACTACCTAATATTATTGGAAAAAGATATTCACAATCAAAATTTTAAAGCCTATAGATACTTTCAAAGCCCAAAAAGTTTAGATATAATATATAGCCCAATATAATATTAAATAAAAAACAAAACAGAAAATAAAATAAATCGCGAGTGACTACTTAGGGGGCAGCGGCTCAATAGGAACTCCTAGGGTAAGGGCAAGACTCCAATTCCATCGATTAATTAGTCGACAAAGATCTAGAATTCATAATTCACAAATCACAATTCCATTGAATGTAACTTTTTTCTTTCTTTCTTTCTCTCTTTATTTATTATTTTTTAACTTATTGCTTCATTGGATCATTGTTCCTATATTCTAATATAATTGATATTAAATATTTGTTAATAATAAATTGTGAATATGAGAATATCGATTCCAGAGTAGGGGGGGGGGGGGGTTCTCGCTAATAGTGACTACTGAAAGGTGATTTGTTAATTGTTCAATAATTCAACAACATAAATTTTGATTGTTCCATGATTGTATATTATGTGTTTTTTTATTTTTTTCAATATGAATTAATTCTTTGATCGTAGTTCATTTGTTTGATTATTTGATATTTCGATTGTTGTTTGTAAATTAAAATTTGTGAAATAAGAAATCTCATAACTAATGAAATAAGAAATATCACACCAAAAACAAAATCATCGTTTCATCGATAATACTTTATTTCTTTGTTTTTTATTGTTGATTTTTGACTTGCTGCTTGTTTATGAAATTAGAAAAAAAAATGTCTTTCTTTAACTTTTTTTTTAAAGAATGATTAAAAAATAGTAGAAAAAATAATGAGGAAAATAAGCATATAAGAGTTGATTTAAATTCACCATGTGAAATTATTAAAATCTATATCAATATATAAGACCACATTCCGGTATAATTATAAGAAATTCAAATCTTTTTTTGCTTATACGATTCGACTCGATCCGGACGCACAATTATTTTTTTTTATCGGTTTCATTTAAAAAGTGAACCATATGATTTTACGTTCTAGACTCGCCACTGCTCAACGATGACGTTTTTAGGGATCACCTTCTTTAGCGGGTTGAACATGAAGCATAACTTTTTAGGGAAAGAAAATATATAGTCTTCTACCTAGCTATGTTCGTAGCTAAGTATATAGTTTGAACAATTGTAATCGTTCCATAGCTACAAATCACCGGTGTATACTTTCAAACTAGAGGATGGACAAAAATGAAATAACATTCAAGTAATGATCGAAACCAAAAAGAAATATATAAAGGGAAGGAAAACACCAAATTACCATAACACTGAAAAGCAATATATGGAGCTAAGGAAAAGACCAAATTATTCATATATTTGCTTGTGGGGACACTTAACATACATAATTGACCTACATCAAAAGGAAGGACTGGAAATGGAATGAAATCTAACCAAAAACATAACAATTATTCTATGTAGTCTAAAAACCGATGAAATAATTTTGTTAGAAAATTGTTAACAAAGTGCACACATATTCAAACAAAACCGTGTATGTGTCTTGCAGCAAATACGAATACTTAAACATATATCATTAGTAGAAAAAGATATTTAACCTATTAAATATAAGCAATAAGCAAAAAGTGCACATCAACAAATATTAATATTTTATTTTCAAACACTAAAATACTAATTTAAAAACTATAGGATCTTATAGAGTCAACGAACTAACTTCCCATATAAGAAGACCGTTAAGATTCTTTGACGTTCATCTTCCCCATCCAAGTTGGTGGCAACATCCCGGTTTGCTCATGAACAGTCTCAAACAATGGCGGCAACATTTTGTACACACCGGCAACTTCCTTCAAGAGACCACCATCGCCGCCCTCTCCACCACCACTTGCGCCGGTCCAGATGCTAATCTTTGGCTGCAAACCCTTAACTGCCTCCCCATTAATCTTCGCAATCTCTTGATACATTCCTCCGGTGATCATTAAATAATCTCTTAAAGCTGCATAGTTACCTCCGAAGGCACCCAAAAGTGTGCGTATGTAAGTACCTTGAGCTTGAGCAAGAGCAACAAGTCCCTCCGCCTCCTTCTGTTTTGCATATAACTCACCGTCGGCGACTTGTTGGCGGGAGTAGAGTGTCGCCTCCGCTATCGCCTTCTGAGCGTCCGCTTCTTTCTCCTTCTCGTAGAGAATTGCTTCTGCGGCTTTTTTCTTCTTGTAGAGCTCCCAGTTCGCTTCTTGTACCTTTGTTTGCATTAAACTCGCGGTTTATAATTATACGTGAATGTGATTAATTACATGAAATAGCAAATGGTTAACTTTGGATTCATTCTGTTACCTTGGTTTCATACTCAACGCTAGCTTTGCTCAAGAACTCAGCTTTGAGTTTCTCAGTCCGAGTTAAAGCGTTCAGTATCTCAACCTCCTTCTGCAGCTCCGCCTCACGCAGCGCCACCGCCTTATTCGCCTCCACCTCTGCCACCTGAGATTCCTTGGCCCACTTTGCCTTCTTCATTGCAAGCTCTGCATTCGCTTCAGCCACTTCAGCTTCTTTCTGGTTCTCAAACACCTTCACTTCTGTCAACACCTTCACCTCCTCCTTCTTCCCCTGACCTTGCCTTTGTGTAGCTATGATCTTCGTTTCCGCGTCTATCTTTGCTGCGTTCTGCAGAGTCTGCCCATCACGAAGCTTCGCTCCTATCTCACCCTGAATCAACGATCACTCATTATATATCCACGATTCAAAGTAGAAAGTACTTAAGCAACAATAGTGATAAGCAATCACCTTCATTTTGGCTTCAGAAACATCGATCTTGGCTTGATTGGCAGCTTCCTGTTGTATCTTTTGCCCTAAATAAGAGAAATATTCATGTCCAGGAACATCAACCAACTGTTTGACATTGGCATTGTAGATCCACAATCCAAACTGATTTAATTCCCACTGAACCTTCTCAAACACCTCCTTCTTGAAATCCTTCGTACCTTTGAAAATCTCATCCATGGTCATGGAGGCAGCAAGGACACGGGTCTCCCCCTCGATGATCCCCATAACGAGCTCGTTCAAATGGTGTGATTGCTTATCAAGCGGGGAGATAAGCTTGGCGTATTTGTGGAGGCTTTCATTGTCGTCGGAACGTGGACCGATGGTGAAAACGGCCGGGAGGATGAAGGGGAGTTTTTCGGCGCTCATGGCCTGGACATCGAAACTGTAGTTCACCGGAGTTATGTCGAACTTGGCATAGGTCTGGCCGGGAAATACCCATGCTTTTTTTGCGATTTTGATGTCGTCGATCCCGGATCCGGTGATCACCAAATACTCCGACGCGCTTGCTACCCTATACATTGCCGGAGATACTGACCGCCGTCGGTTGAGGGGATATATTTAGGGTTTACGTGTAAAGCTTAAACTAGATGCTACAGCTGGCTTGTGTATATAGGGTTAATTTTAGCATGCTGACTACCTCGTGCTTATATTTAGATGTATTTTCTTTTACATTAATGAAGATGATAGCTCTTTCTTTATTTATATTTTAATTTTTTTACCAAATCACTTTATTTTATATGATCTTAAAGAATAAAAGAAGAATTTCTTCTCTTTATTTTAATAAAAGAATAATTGTTTTTATTACGTGTCATTTTATTAGGCGTTCCTAATTAACGTCATGTCATTTGTCACCTTATTGATTCATTATTTCAAAATTCAAATTTTAAATTTATTACTCTAATTACATTAAATTAATAACATTAAAATAAAAAATAAAATTAATATAGATTATAAGATCATATATTTATTTAAATCAATGATTATAATTTTATATAATTAAAAAATATCTTTTAATTAACAACTTATTTAAAATAATTGATTAATAATTTTGAGTTTTTACTATGAAAGTTTAATTAATTTTGTAACTATGGTTTCCACAAGTTATAAACTAGTTAATTATATTAAAGTATATTATTTTTAATTAGTTGTTAAATTACTGTAACATTAGAGCATTGGGTATGAATAACATGTTATAACACCATATAGGTGGCACCTCAGATGCCACATCACCCATGATATTATAACACCATGGTAGGAACTGGTATCCATGTTATATGAAATTATCTTTTCTAAAGGAATATACATAATTGTTAATGGAACATGTTTAAATGACAGATAGAAAAATTGGAAAATAATTTAATATTTTGTTTTTAACACATATAGTCCTTATTTTTTTATTATTATTATTATTTTTTGTAAAGTAAGCCTTTGAGTTTATTGTTTTTGTACAGATTTAATACTTATGACTGATTACTCCAGGTTAAGTTCTCAGTTTGTATACATTTAGTCCTTAATGTTTTATTTACAAAATAAGTCTTTGTTGTTTTTAGATTTAATTGCAAAAATGGTCCCTGTGGTATGCAATTTTTTGGGGTTTTGGTCCAAACCACGAGTTTTTTGGTTTTGTTGTCCTTTTGGACTGGTTTGTTTGTGAGAATGGTCCCTGTACTTAACACCCGTTAAAAAGAATCCGTTAACCCCCTCATGTGCCTTGCACGTGAGGGTATTTCTGTCTTTTTACTTATAGGGACCATTTTTGCATATGGAAAAATAAAACATCCTTTATATGTCGTTTTCTTTTCCCAGATTCTTCCCCAACGAATCTTCTTCCCCAACGTTCTTAACTGTTCTTCCCCAACGGCTATTTTCTTCAATTTCTCCTTCCTGACTTGCAATTGAGCAATGGTGGTTTGTTTTTGTGGAAAGCTCGCCTTGGTGAAAACGTCTTGGACACCACTGAATCCCGGAAGGAGGTTTTATGCTTGCCCTACTAAGGATTCTGTTTGTGGGTTTATCGGGTGGGTTGACCCGCCTATGTGTGCTAGGAGTAAAACCATCATACCTGGTCTTCTAAGAAACATAAATACGTTGGAGGAAAGATGTAATGGGCTGGTAAGAAGTATCAACATGTTACAGGAACAGTGCAATGGACTTTTGAGTAGGAACAACATGTTGGAGGCAAGGTGTGTGATAGCTTATTTTATTTCCTTATTTTTTTAGTTTATTTTAGATTTTTAGATCTTTTTATCATGATTGCATTGTATTTTATTTATTTTTCTTTAGCATGGATCGTATCGGGTGCTTTTTATGTTACATGAGGAATTTTGCAGGGTTTTGGTGCTTATTGCGATTGTGGATTAGAGTGAAGACGGACTTGTGGGCTCTCGAGGCGCTATAGGGCTTGGCGGATCCACCAAAGGAGATTTGAGCTTAAAAAGATAAAGGCTTGGATGAAGTGGGCTTGTGAAGATGGATCATGGATAATTAATTTGGGTTTGGAGCATCCACATTTGAAGCCAAAAGATGATTGGTTGATTTGAATCACATGGATATGGAGGGGACCAAAGGAATCTTTGGTAGTGGAAGGGTGGAGTGGTGGAATGAAGGACCAATAGCATTACAACAACATTTGCGCGGGTGAAATTTTCGTCACGCGGGTACCCGCGCAACTGCCCAGTTTGGGCATTTTGGTCATTTGGCTTGCCATTACCTTGGGGGATCAGACCTAGCAGCCAGAACTTCGATTTGACACCATTGGAGACCTGGGGGAGGCGATTTTGGAAGCTCAATACCCATTTCCTTTCATCTTTCCAAGTCTTAGGTAGTTTCTTTATGCAATTAGACTTTTGTTATTGTTATTTTGTTGCCATGAGTGGCTAATTTCTCTATATTGGTTAACTTTGGTTAAAAACCTTTGAATGTTTGTGGGTTTTTGAAGGATTCATGCTAGATTATCAATTATCTTATGTTTATGGTTCTAGATCATATTTCTTATGCTTGTTTAATGCTTTGATCACGAGCTTGGCACTTGAATGAGCTATTGTTAGTTTATTTCTTTGGTTTTGCATTGAATCATTGAATTAACTTAGAACAAGGGCTTTATGATGGTAAAAATCATCTCTAGTTTATGAATCATAGCTCCTTTATGGATGTGTAAGCATTGACATCCTCTAGGAATTGGGGATTCCTTCTTTCTTAAGGCTAATTGACTTCTTGGGTTCAATTGCTTCAATTAAACCCTTGATCTTTATTAAGAAGGTGTGTTGTGGGCTTCCCCAACCTCCATACTACCTAAGAGGAATCTTGGCATATCATGCTTCATGATTGCTATAACCAATTTGGGATGAATGATAAGCTTCATGTTGAATCCTAATGATAAGCACACAAATGTTCATTGTGTTGAATTGCCTTGGTTAACCAATTGTTCCCAACATTTGAGCATCTCACTATCTTGCTTAATTGCAAGTTTTTAGTTATTCAAGTCTTTTAGTTTTCAAGCAATCATAACACCCCCCCCCCTTTTAGTTTAATTGTAGTTAGTTAGTTTATTTACAATAGTTCTTTTAGATTGCATTGGTGATTGAATACAACCATTTCCCCGAGGATCGATACCCCTTTTTATCATTATATTACGTTTTATTTGTAAACAAAGGGTGTAATTTGCTTGGTGGACTTGACATCCCATCAAGTTTTGGCGCCGTTGCCGGGGAAATTGGTTATTGTTATTTGATTGTTTATGCCTAGGTCTACAAGAACCGGTGAACTACTCTACAATCCGGAAATTAAAAAAGAAGCACAAAGGTTGAAAAAGTCAGCCAAACAAGCAAAGCAACAACAACTAGTTCAAGCTTCTTCCTCTTCTCCACTAATCAACATAGAAGACCAAGTTCACACTTCAAGTGATACCGACACCGAGCCGAGTTCTCCAATTGTTGGTCATTCCTTTGAAGACATTCCGTTTGAAAACTACATAGCCATGAATCACACTCCACCTCACAATCCCAACCCAAACCCAAACAATCAAGATTCCAATACACCACCCCAACAACCAAGACAACAACAAGAACCTCTCATTGATATGCCACCTTGGAATCAAGCCCCTCCTCAAAACCAACCCAATTATCAACCTCCACAACCACAAAACCAACACTTCCACCAAAACAACCAACCTCAAAACAATGCTTTTCAAGTTCAACAACAAGTACATTACCCAAATCAACCCAATTACCAACACCTTCCAATGTACCAAAACCCAATGTACCCACAACAACAACCTCCTTACAACCAATACCCTAACTACCAGCCTTATCCACCACCAATCTACAATCCCCAACAATACCCATACCCACCTTACCAACAACCACCCGATTACTTGCAACAATATCCCAATAACCCCAATCCACCCAATCCCCCTCAAGAGTTGACACTTCGACAAATGATGGAGACGGATGTTACTCATATACCTCTTGGTATTGTTTATCCCGCAAACCGTCGAGGGATTGAATTGAAGTCAAGTTTCATACATCAACTCACCAAGTTCCATGGTTTGGATAGAGAAGATCCTCAAAGGCATTTGAAGTCCTTTCATATGATATGTGTTAGCATGTTGCCCGAAAATGTGACATTGGATGATTTCAAGCTAACCGCCTTCCCGCTCACCTTGGAAGATAAAGCTAGAGAGTGGTTATTCAACTTACCACCGGGATCTATTCACACATGGGAAGAGTTACTCAAAGCCTTCAATAGCAAGTTCTATCCCACCTCCCGAATTTCAAGCCAAAGAAGTGACATTTTGGGGATTCGTCAAGGGGAGAATGAGACTTTTCATGATTTTTGGGAGCGATTCAACAACTTGTGTACAAGTTGTCCTCAACACAACATTCCCGAACAACTACTTCTTCAACAATTTTATGAGGGTATGAATGAAAAATATCGAAGGATGATTGATGCTTCAAGTGGTGGTGACATCTTCAACAAAACCCCTCAAGAGATAAGGTCACTTTTTGGAACCATTTCTCAAAATCAAAGGAACTTTGGGACTCGAAATGACATGAAGAGAAATTCTCCACAAGTGGTTGGTGAAGTTAGCAACATTCAACACTTGGAATCAAAGCTCTTAGATTTGACTAATGTATTAAGTCAAATGGTGGTGGGAAGTGGTCAACAATTGATGGTATGTGGTATTTGTGCCATGACGGGGCATTATACGGATAAGTGTTCCTCACTTGGTAGTGAGCTAGAGGATGTTAATGCAATGGGAGGATATCAAGGTCAACCAAGACCCATGGGCTTTCAAAACAACTACAACCCAAATTGGAGGAATAACCCAACCAACCCATACCCACCAAAGCAAAACCCACCACATGTTATGATGAGACCCCAATTTTCTCAATACCCATCACAAAAACCTCCATATCCCCAAACATCTCATTCCACTCCAAATTACCAATCAAGTGGTGCCCACCAAATGAGCCTTCAATAACTTGTCACTTCTCTTGCTCAAAGCCAAACCCAATTTC